TTACGTTCCCAATTATTAATAAAGACCCATGTCGTGTTTGCATAGTAGATTACCTAAAATATTTAAGTGGAGGCATTAATGTATGCGAAAAGTGATAATCGGATATTAAATGCTCGTTTACATGCAAACAACATATGTCTGTAATAGGGCACACTCTCTCGAGGCTTTAGCACTTACATTGCCAGTTATGTAATGTTCATCTGCAATTTAGCTTAATGTTATTACTTTTGGTTCATAAGGTCGAATTGGTTACCAATTATGGATGGTGGACGCAAATAGGAATTAAAATTTCAGTTGTATGAGAAATGTCTGTATAATTGTTTAAATATTGTTGATTAACTACTTTCATTCATTCATCTTTCTAATCCATTTTTCTGTGTTAAATATAAACAGTTCTAGCAGCTATTTATAATAGTAAAATATTATCTGTTTACTTTGCCCCAAATTGGTATCCATATTCGCTATTTGTAATCCTTATTTATAAATTAATCAGATAGGAAAATTCTGAAAACAAAAAATAATATATACAGATTCTATGAAGCACTTTCAAGTCGACTTGAAAGATCTCATTCTCCTCTGATATAAATTCTGTAAATTATTGGTAAAATTAGTTGAAGTATAGATATAGTTAAAGTATCTACAATATTTTTAATTTGAAACATAGATTGATTTATATTCAAAAGTTTTTCACATTATTTAAATTACATTACCTGTGCAAACAAAAAATAAGATTCGTAGAGAAATAATAACTTTTGTCAATTTCCGGCGTGGTTTTGTGGGCAATTTATTATCCGACAGAAGAGAAATTATCTGCGCTCTAAGAAAGTCTTCATGAAACAACGATATATCATGCAACATTCAGAAGTAAATATAATACAGTTAGGTGAAGTCCGTACGGGATTTGAATATAATGTATTTATAACATCGTAATTAATTACTATGGGATAAGTTCTCTGTTATGTTCACTGTTAATTAATTATCTGCGTGTTCAGGGAGTAAACGATTGTTTACTTTAGTTTTTTGATCGTGGAGATATTATATATATATATATATATATATATATATATATACTCGTATTTTTTCTTATGCTCATCAATTATCAATACGTTGTCTAGCAAAGTTTTGCCTAATTTTTCTTTGCAAATAATTATTTTTCTTTATTTTGTTCAATAGATGCAGCGTTGCGTAACTTATTGTGAACTAATATAGATTTACAGTTTATAGTAAACTGTGCAATTGTAGAAGAAATGAATAAAATTTTAAAAATAAATATAAAAATCAAGTGCGAATGCTTAGTAACGCTAATCATTTCTTCCCCCTATTTTTGAAAGTCTCCATGTTTTTTCTCTTGCATATCATCCTTGATTTTTGACGATGTTGACGTCAAATTAAAACTGAATATTCATACATCAATATGCCATTAAATGCCATTTTCTAACCTAGAAACAAGTATACAACTATTTATTCTGAGGTTATGCCAAAATGATCTTTAACATCATAAAGGCATCTAAAAATGTTAATTTTTTGTTTCTAGTTCTAATTTAAATTCGAAGTCGATTTCAATTTGTAGTTAATTACTTCAAACGTTTAAATATTCCAAAAACTTACCATAGTTAAACTGTAACTATGGTAAATAAATCTAATTATTTATATCGTAATTGTGTGTACGTCAATTTAACACTTTGCTTCGCGTTGAGCAAATTGCTCAAAGAACAGAAAGCTCATGCTGCTTAACCCAGGCAAGTTCTGTATTAAGTTCCTTTTGTTTGCCATCGGTATACATGCATTCATGGGCGTGTGACTGCGATATACGATTCTAGGCAACTCTACCAACTCTACTGACTGTTTCATTCATAGTTTGCTCGAATTAATGCTACTCTGTATTGCATCAGAGAGATTGTTGAAGTAATTATAGTTAGATTCCGAGAAAATTGTAAACTTCAGACTTAGTTTTCTTGTAAATATTTGCTGTTCTGACGTGTTGTAATAATTATTTTGTAGTGGAATTAATGAATTTGTTTGAAATTATATCGAACATTTTATTGTATGCTTGGACTTCAATGGACATTTCCTATCTATTTTTAACTCAAAATTTTTTGTAAGTTTATTCGACCTTGAGAACTTTTTAGGTTTACTTCCAATTTCTTCTACACATTAGCATCCTTGTACACTAAGTTCAATTTACCAATGCCAATTGAAGCACATGCAGCATTATATTTGTATTACGCATCTAATTAACGAGCAACCATTTATCGGTTATATATGTTTCCACCTATATTGACTGATTAAATAAATTGGTTGATTCATGTTTGCGAAAATGCTCAACCGAGTAGAAAATCATAGAATTCGTATAAATAGTTGTGTGATGAACATATTAAATTTCGCATAATTATATACCTATAATGAGTATAAATTAATCATTTGATGGTCTTTATGTTTACATGTATTTATAATCTGTTATATTAAAGATATCTCTGTTCAATGTCAATATATATACATACACTGTGTATGTCTATTTATATCACCGTTTTTGTTTAATAACATTTTTTGTAAATGCTTTTCAAATTTGTAAGTCAGTATATTATATAAATTTACTTCCGTTTCAATTTCAATATTTATTTATCCGATTATAATCTTCATTTTCACAAATTGTGTTACATATTTTATCATAATACATATCAAAGTAATTATGAGAATTTCTGCTTTGGAAATCACTGATATAGAGTGTGCTTGGTAAGACAGGATAAAATTAATAGCACTGTTTCAGGATTAAGCCAAAAAAGTAAACTCTTTGTTAAGCCTCGCAGACGTCGTTTATTAAATTACGTTCGTTTTCATTGCCGCTTGGAAAGTCGGTCACAGAGATGCAAACCCCTTTTTTCTTACCGGATCTGGGTAATAATTAAGGGCAAAAAAAAAAAACGGGCTATAAATACGCGACGTGTTTTTGCCAAGAGTTTAGCTTGACTTAGTATTTACCTTGCTTATATAGTCGTAGCGATGTTTTTCAAATATTTTTTGTGGTACATTTAATTAATTTAATACTTCAAGGAATGATAAAATTGTAATCAAACAATTTTAGAATCTGAACTTTGTAATAAAATGATATATGAAACGCTTCAAAGCGAACAATAAATATGTGAAGAACATAATAATAAAGAAGTTTAATAAATTTAAATAAAAAAACGTTGAAATTTATCCGTTGTTGAATGTTTTTCAAATATTCTTCAAGTCGGTATGAATTTACATGGTACGGTGGAGACGCCTTGTACTTTTCATATATCAAAATATCGATCTTACATTTTTTCAAACAGTTTTAATAATTTGTTTAATAAATAAATACACCATAGCGAATTTATCTCTTAATTATAAATTTATTCTATATATATTCACATTAAAAACATAAGTAATAATTTGGTATGAAAATTAATTATTGATAAAAATTAGAATTGCATTTATTATTTTTCTTATTTCTTACTTTGATGGTAAATGAATGTGCAAGAGATCACTTGTTCATAGTATATATTTTATAAATTTATTTTAAATTAAGTGAATAAAGTAGGAATGTAGGATACTAAATATTTTTTGAACACAAAATATGTCATTGTTATATTTTCACTAAATGCATCTGTATACACTAAAGCATTTTAACTGAAGTTATCAGAATTATAAATCATCGCTTCATCCCGATCATATTGGCCAAATCACAGCCTGTTATAGCATCTTTTGCTTTACTCATTGCTTTAGCGGCTAGAAAATGCATATCAATGCATTTTCTAGTCAAAATTTATATTGTTAATCTTATAATTGTTCTTTGTTTCATTATTTTAACTTGCGACTTGTAAATCGATGTTACTAATGGCAATACAAAAAGATAATTTCCAAGGCCATTTATTTCGCTGAAAAAAGAATAGGTATTAATCGATTCAGAATACCTATCACGAAATTTTTTACGCATCCATGTTTCTTTTCCTTTTTTATTCGGCGTTCTGGTCGGGTATATAAATCTTATCTTATCTCAGGTCGTGTTCTGTAGGAAAAAAGCAATAAAACTATGGTGGCGTTGATACAAAGTATTTCTTTTTTGCTCAGTGTTTCACTGATGTCGATACGCACGCTGTCGGTGTTTAACAGCTGAAAGATATATTAACGTTATGAACCTGACCTGCTTCAGAACGGAAAGTGTAAGGGTAATTTAAAGATCAGTTTTATTTTATCAACTTTAACATGAGATAACTTTAGAAAATTTTATAGGCAAGGGAATTGTCTTAATAGTGAAGCAATTAAAAAACCTGGTCGTTTTTATTGTGAATATTGGTTTTAAGAACAATGATTGTAATTTTGTAAGATAGTGATTAATATTTTGTTTCCGTTCTATAAAATTCGTTATATATATATATATATATATAGTAACAGCGTTTAATTAAAAGATTCTATGATATTTTTAACCTATGATGTGATATTTTTACGATGAGTAGGCATCATGACACGCGCAAAGCTTTTAATCGAAAGACGGCGAAGTTCTATAGGTTCATGATTATTGATAAAAGTTCACGTCTGAAAAATTCCAGAACGAATACGTCTTTGAGAATTTTGTTTTCGGAATAAGAAAAGTTGAGACGTTTGCTATCGTTTAACGCTTGGATACATACGACGACCGCAATCAATGTTTTACGCGAAAAATTACATTTACAGGCGTTAAGAGAGCAAGGAGAATAACGGTGACAAGTCCAATAAGATAAACAAAAACAATGAAATTTGTGTTTTTGTTACTTTTGAAATGTTAAATTCTTTGGAATTTATTTCAGCGGCATGAACAATGAGTCGTTGTCAAATGTAGTTGACGTCATTATGAAGCTGTTGTTTTCATGACTAAAAGAATTGTCATTATACGTACTACGATATGTAGTAGTTTCTTTCATCAAATTTTGAACTAATTTTAGTTTTTTCAACTATTTTATGATTTGGTTAATGATTTTTAATGTTTTTTATATTTTCAGGGTCGGCTCTTAGGTAAAGTGGATGCTTACTTCAGCTCGTTCAGACGTTGTAACTATCCACGTGTTAGCGCATCTGGAGGAATCGAGATTGTTCAAGAGTGCGGAAGATATTCAAGGTTAGTCTTCTATTATTAAAATATTTTTTTCATTAAAAATTAATTACTTGGTTTCAAATAAATATAGATAAATGATCTGACAATAAAACTCAACTGAATGCATATTAACTGAAATTACTAATTAGATATTCAAGGCAATATCAATGAAACTTTGATATATTATCATTCCTCCTTTTTTTAAAGCTGGAATATATATACTTGTTGTTTTGTAATTTAGCACATTTATTGGTTATTGCAACAAACGTTCAAAACACATTACATTCATGGAAAATCAATATTTACGATTTTACGTGATCTGCATGTTCGGAAATTCAGTAATATATACAGTTTTTAAATACTTTGACGTAAATATCTTTATGCAACAATACAATTTGTAAAGCGCAAAATGTTGCCATACAATTTTTCTGCAAACGCACGAATTTTAATCACTGGGATTCTCATAAATATGCCGAGCAACAACGGTGCATAACGAGCTGGCCTGACGAACTCCTACATTTTCAGCCGAAATACATACATCACTGTCGGGCCGAAATGTAATTTTGTTATTCCGTGCGATCTATTTCAATGTGCCTATGCACTCGTTGATATTTGAATTCATAGTGAAAGTTGTAAATTTGAGAAGATTGCTGTAGTCATTTTTTTCTTTATTTTTGTATACCATACAAAAATTTAATGTAGGGTAGACTGAGTACGGTTGTGCTATTTATTTTTATCACTAATTTTGTTAATTTACCAGTTAGCTTCGAGAAAAGGAAATTGAATGGTAATTTAATATTTGTCTACGTGGAAATACTGAAATATTGTCTTTGAATACGATGGATTAGTCATAGTCAAATTATACAACAGTCCTGGGGATGTGGATGGAGGTATGAGGTTAAGAAACAATATCTTCAAACACCAACATGGCTTATAATGAATTTTATTGTCAGAAATATGCAACACTATTTAACTTAATCATTTAAGCAAAGCTTATGAATATAATATAACAATATAACGAAATATAACATAACTACTACTATTACATAACTATAACATAATATGTTTTAATATAACAAAACATACATTTTACTAAGAAACCTTTGGGCAATATTTTTTGTTTTGAATTATCATTTCTCTTTCTCTTTTGAATTTCATCTTAGTTAAATTAGATTTTTTGTATCTATTTAATCTTCACCCGGAAAGGATGAAATACGTGTTAAAACCGTACCTGCAAAATTTGTCACAACAGTACCCAACGCACACTTTTAAAAACAAATCATCGTTTTGACTTGGCAGTTAACTACTCAAGTTCAACATACAGCAAAAAACAAACAAAATGATCTATCTGTATGAGTAACAGTTATTAATAAGAGAAGTCGAACAATTAACCTTACTTTATACTCGAGGACGGTGGCTCAATACTATAATGGAAACTTGTTCAAACAAACAAACTTCATCTTTCTTCTTTCGAACCCTATCTCAAAATTAGCGTATTTTACCTGTTATGTCGACAGTCACTATCGTACCAAGTCTCCCCTACCTTATTGTTAGATATGCCTATAAAAAACTACTGAACAATTGATCTGTTCTCTAAAAAAATTGCTTTATGATCAAAAAGCATAATACCTACCACAATTTTAAATTGTTAAGATAAATAATAGATTTAATACTTAAATATATTATTTTTATTTTCTGTAATATATAACTGATTCTGAGAAGTTGATATGCAAGGATATATAACAAAATATCCAGTGATTAATCAATCATTATTCAATAAACATTATTGAATATTGCATCTAAAAATAAGCGTCGTATTACCATTTTGTTCAAACGGAATAATTTTAGTAAGCGTATTCAATATTGCGTATAGCATTTATCTGTTCAGTTTTGTCTCGATTAAAGTACAATTAATGCATCGATGATGCAAACGATTATATTTTTAATACTTTTTTAATTAAAAAACTAAACCGAATCCGCTTTTCCTGTATCCTATTTTGTCGATTGAACGCAGGGGGTTTCGATCGCTACGCATTGTTTGTTATATGGGTTGTCTGTCACTATTTCGAAGCGTACGTCATGCATATCGGATTTCATGTTCGATTACCGAATTGACCGAGAAATGTTTATCGATATGGAACCCGTTAGAATCGTCTCTGTTGATATATTTCATCTCTATTTGGGGAGGGCACACATTATTTGTCAGGACCGCCAACGACCCTATCTGGAGGTAGGAGTCAAATATGTTTGGCAGGGAATTATGATATAGATATGCTATGCTATTTGGCATGTTGCTATTTGCATTATATAACGCAGAGAATGTATTTGCATTATTCAGTGTTTTAAATGTATATTAACTCATTAAATCCTAGCTGATTATACTAATTATTATATGGTGCCATGCATATATGTGAAATAGATTATTTGGCTCTTCCAAAGACTATTAACTTAAACACATATTCATGAATGATATTTATGAATGAAACCTAATAGTTATTACCGTTCATTAGATTTCAAATTAATGATTTATTTTAATATATCATTACTTTTCAAGTAGAGGTATCTTACATGAGTTTTATGAACTTTATAACACGATTCCACTACTTACATAAGTTCATTTATATATTCCAGTATGATTTAGTCAATTCGAATAAGAGTCTTATATCAAGAATGTCCGAAATCGATAATAAACTAGAGGTGTATGACATCGTGTCTTAAGGCAAATTGCTGGAACTTCGCGTACCGTAACGAAATATGTTTGAGAAATTTTAAATATTTTTATATATAGATTATTATAAATACTATAACATTGTCTGATATTTATAAGAATTACATAAACTGAATTACACAGTTAAAATTATTTATTTAAAATTTAAATTTAATAAGTGAGCTTTAGAACTTTAGCCAAAATTAAAATTAAAATCTGAATTATTTTCGATATACAAAAAAAAATGAGAAAAAAAATTGGAAAAAAATTGTTTCAAATTTTTTTTATTCAAAAAGCAATTAGTAGAAAGTTTTTTGAATCATTAAAATCGGATGCTTAGTTCGCTTTAAAGCAGACATTTTTGCACATTTAGCTCGGTATCTCCGAAACGGCTGGGCCTGCCTTTGTCAAACACTAATCACCACTTCTCCATATCAATAGGAATCGAATGGTTTTTGAATCATACAAATCGGAAGCTCCGTTCTCTCAGAAACTCGATTTCTATTTTCCGAATCTCCGAAACGCCTGGACCTGCATTTACCAAAAACTAATCAGCACATTTGCCTATCAATAGGAATCGAATGTTTTTTGAACTATTCAAATCGGTTGATCTATGCGCCCGAAAACGTGGACGAAAAATTGTATCCATACACACACACATCCATTTTTTCTGAGGTATGCCAAAGCCTTCAAAACGCGAATAAATGTAAAAATTTTCAATTTCGCTTTTTGGACGATTTCAATAACTTGCCCTACGGGAAGTTAATAACATTTTTAATAGCCCGAAGAAAATAAATATAATTGAATTTAGCACTAAACTCATTAATAAGTGCAATAGTTTTGAGCAAAAATATGGAGTTAGGATAGTAGTGAGGGTAGGAAACAAGATTCAATTACCCATAAACAGGTTTTTTTCTTCATTATTAAAAAAATAGTTAATGATATCAGTAATCACCTGATAGACCATGTGAATTAATGATACGTAATTTGAAAATATAACTTTTATCAGTCTATATTTTCCAATGATAATGCTTCCACTGACATGATTTCCTCGCGTAATAGCAATGCAATTTTCATTAATGTAACAATACGAACTAATTTATATTCTTTCATATCGTTAGGAAGTTAAGCATATTGAATTCAGGACGAGAAATTTGAATATAAATCACACAGTTTGCTTCTCTCTGTGTAGACGTAGCTTCGCAGCATCATCGAGATGTGATAATTTAAATTTGTCGGCGATTTAAATATATTAACGAACAAATCGTCTTTATTATCGCATGTTCTAGGTCAGAATTTGCCAACCCAAAATAATTAATTGCATAACACAATAGAAGCAGAAACACGTCAACCATTTAAATTCTAACTTTGAATAATTATTATTACGTAGACTTGTGAATATATTGCAGGAGAGCAGGTACAAGACGGAACTTAAAAAATATATTAATGAGCTTAATGAGCTATATATATATATATATATATATATATATATATATATATATATATATATTTATATATATAAGGCAGAGCGGGGCTTAAAGATCCGTGGGTAGAAAGTTCCACTATCGATATCTCGAAAACAAGTATTGTTAGAAATATTTTAACAACAACCTGACATCACTTTGGTTCTTACAATGACGCTATCAGGATATAAATGGTAATGTTTGAAAATCCATGACAAAAATGTGCTCTTTTTTGGTTGTGAGTACTATTGTTTAGTTTATGTATATGTACTTATTTATTAGTTTATATAATAGAATTTTTAAGAAGATGTTATTTAATTGGTTTATAAGATATATTGCTATTTTTAAGTTAGGTCAGCAGTAGTTGTTTTTTATAATTTCTACTTAAACGTAAACTTCATAAAAGTTTACATATAGGTAGGGTAGAAAGAACCAACAAGACTTTAAAACATGTGAATTAAGCTGAAAAAAGCAATTTTTCAAGATATAAATTAAATTAATTTTTATTACAACTTAGCTGTTCATTATTACTGACAAAATGCCATATCAATGTTATATACAGTATTATCTCTGTAAAAATGAACTTGAAATGGAATGAAATGAACTATTTTTTATCAAATCCGCACAAATTTTGAAATAAGTTATTGGATTTGTTTTCCCACTAGCTGTCCCAGATTTTGTGTAATAATCTAATACTGCAGTGGAACAAGTATTACTTTTCTTGATATTTTTTATTTACTTTGGCTTCTACATTTTCTTGGCTAGCCATCACAAATGAGTTGCACACCGCTGTCCTAGGCTAGAAGTGTAAAGTCAGATAAAGCCTTCAGAAGAAGCGTCAAAAGCTCGCTTGTATTGACGGGCATTACCATAATTAAATTAGAATATTATCGTGAATATTTTCCACGAAGCTTCTGTCTGCCAAGAGACGTCGTCCGTGTCTATCCAGTCATTCTACAGATATAAATATTCAAATGAGAACGTTTTTATTGCGACTGAGCTAGACTCTCAATTCTACTCATCGCCAGTTGTCGCTCTTGGCAGAATTGTGATGTCACCAGTCGTTCTGTAATTTATGGAAAATAATGGTATGTGGTAAAAAGCTGACAAAGCAATTTTCAATGGGTTCATAGTAAATGAGATATTGATAATATAAAAAACATATATTTTTATATGGTTGCATAAGTGTAAAAAATATAAGTTGTGTCTTACTTTCAACAATTCGATCAAGATCAGTTTCCATTGTTTTTTCAAAGTTCTTTCAGCGAGACTTTTCAAATTGTAGAAGGAGCAACAGGTAATTCATGTAAAATTAAATGTATTTCAATAACAATATTATTAATTTTAACAATAAGCGATTAATATATAGAAAACAAGCTTATACGTCGTCATACTATATATGTATGTCTATGATCATAATTTAATATTTAATATTTTGAAGAGCACAACTTACTACTATATCATTCAAAATATTTTGAAAACTTAATTAATTTTATAAAAGATAAAATTATATTTACATGTAATATGCATGTATGGTATAATTCATTGGACAAGAATTTGAGAAAATAATAGTAACATCCCGCTCGTGGTAGAT